CTCCTATTATAAACTCCTTATTTGGATTAATTAGTTAAATTCATTTTTAATACTAAGTCTTTATTAGAGTAACTTCTCGCTTCCAGAGGCTTTAGATAAAATAGCTAATAAGTTTCTTAACTATTAGCTAAGACTTATTAGCTAGAAAATCTATAAGTAGTAAATAAGATTATAAAGTAGAATTCCCCTAACTATAATACTAAAACATTTTATTATAATATAAAGTAATTAGATATAAAAGCCCTATTAAATATAATATATCTCAAACTATAAGTTTATAAGATAGGTATAGGGAGTCTTAGTATTTAACTAGTATTATAGTCTAGCCCAAAGGCACTTACTATTCTTTATACCTAATTTAATAAAAATAAGAAATATTTATATTTTAATTCAAGGGATAATTAGGACTTTTATATAGACTTAAAATAGTAGTTTATTTTATAGAGAGAAAATAAACCAGAAATACTTATATTATATTAATCTTTAGAAGGAATTATAATAAATACTATAACTCCTGAAATACTTTCGAAAAAGCTTCTCCGAATTAAAATAGGCTAGTTTATAATCCCGAAAGATCTATAGAAGTCTTATATATTCGAGAATATAAGTATTTAAGATAAATACTATTTGAGTCCTAATTTATAATAAAAGAAAAATAAAGTATATAAAACAAAATATATAAAATAAAAATAAAATAAAATATCCGGGTATTTAACTAATAGAAAGCCTAACTATAGGTTATAAGAACTAGTACTAACTAGATATATATATAGTAATATTAAAAGAAAAATAAGGCAGGGGAAACTAAAAAATAAATTAGTATATATTCTATAAAAGTAAATAAAGAAATATCTAAATAGCCCAAAAGCAAGAAGTATATATTAAAAGAATTAAGATTAGAAAAAGAAAGGCTATTTCCTATAAGAATAAGTTAGTATATATTCCAAGATAAAGAATAGGGGTACTTAGTAGTAGTCCAAAGGCTTTTATAAGTATTAAAAGAGGAGGGGAGATATTAAAGTTCGGAGGGATCTAAATAGAAGTTAGCCTCTTTTTTGGAAGTTCGAAAAAGGATACTTCTAAAGGACCTAAAGGCATAAGAGATATTAGAAAAGAAAAAAAGGTATTAAAGTTCGGAAAGAGCTAAATAGGAGTTAGCTTCTTTTTTGGAAGTTCGAGAGAGGGTATTCCTAAAGGGCCCAAAAGCATAAGAGGTATTAGAAAAGGAGAGAAGAAGATATTAGAGAAAGAGAAGAGGAATCTAAAATTTAGCTTTCTAAGGAGCAAGTGAGTTAAAGACTTATAATATAAAAGTTCTGGATAAAAGTAATCCGGAAGTAGTAGTCAGGTACTAGCTTTAGTATTATTAGTAGAAGTATTAAAAGAGAAGGGGTTTAGAGAAGGAGAGAAAGATTATAAGGTAATTAGATACTAGCTCTTAGTATTAATAATAGAAGTATTAAAGAAGAAGGGGTTTAAAGAAGGGGTTCGGAAAAGGAATTTAGAGAAGGAATTCGGAAAAGGGGTTTAGAAAAGGGATTTAGAGGAGAAAAGAAAAGTTATAAAGTAATTAGATACTAGCTCTTAGTATTAATAGTAAAGTCAAAAAAATATAGAAGAAGAATAGAGGTTTTAAAGTAAAGATAGAATAGAATTATAGTTTTATAGAAAATAAAATTATTAGTATAGAATAGTTATATTATTATATAATTCTATATTTACTTTTACTATTTATTAAGAATATATATTTCTTAGGAAAAAGTATTACTTAGAATTCTTAAGCCTCTCTAATTTAATAATTATATATTTAAAAAATAAGAAATAAATATAATTATATATACTAGAATAAAAGAATTCTTCTTATCTAAAAATTATAATTATAGTATTACTAAATATAGAGATATAGAAGTTTATATAATAAGCTATATATAAAGATTTAAGGAGATTTAAATTACCTCGAATTATTTATAATTAGTAAAGTAAATTAGCTAACTATACGGGTCAAGTATAGTTTAATTATTATTAATATATTTTGGCTTTTATAAGTTAGTAAAAGAAAAAATATTTATATTTTTATTTTTATAACTATAATACCTAAAATTATAATTTTTTTAATATTTAAATATACTTAATCTAGGGCTATTAAGTACTAATATTTCTATTTTTAGGTATTATTTATTATAAATTTATTCGGGTTTAAATAATTATATTAAATATATATCTTTATACCCTAAAAGTAAATAATAAAAATATAGCTAAACTAGCTTTAACCTTAGCCTTAATCTTAACCTTAATCTCCTTCCAAAAACAACTTTAATTCCGATATATAATACTATTATTAAAGCTTTTCTTTATTAAAAATATATTAAATATGGCTTTAGGTAATAGTTCTAGTAAAGATAAAAGTAGTAGAAAAGATAATAAAGCTATAAATAAGCAGAAAGATAATATTTATAATATGCCTTCTAATAATCCAGACTCAGTCTATAATATTCTCTCCCGTTAATATATTTAACTAATAAATTCCTCTATTTCTCGACCTCCTTCTTATATATAACTTCCTTTTCCTTCTCTATAATAATACTTTAATCTTCTTATATTACCTAATAATACTACTAAAGTAGTAAAGCAAATTAATAATAAGGCTAAAGTTAGAGAGATAGAGCTATACTAGGGCAGGAAGCTAAAGAAATTAGAGAAAGGTAAGGCAAATCTGAAGGCAAGCTTGGTATATACTTGCAGAACCGAATTCTCTCAAGCTTATACTACTTATAGTAATAAGAAAAGACCGAGGAGCCCTTTTAAATACTATATAGTTATAGAAGGCGAATTCGATAGTACTTATATAAATTACAGATATAATAATAATAGTAAAGTCTATACTTTCTATTAACTTAATACTAATTCTATTAAGTCTGGAAAGCCTTACTCTGTATCTGCAAAACCCTTTATACTAAAGCCTCAACCGCCTATAAGATATAGAAAGCGAGTATAAAGACAGATATAAGGTCAGAAGGCAATGGGAAAGGAGGTTATAGTAGAGGAGGGCGAGAATACTAGAGGAGAAGGGGATAAAGGAGATATAAATAATTCGAGTAATCTAGGCAGTACGGAGGATATAGAGAGTAAGGGAGATGGAGATGTGCCTCGTAATCCATGGGATTTGCCTTACGGACTATGCAAGCTAAGGGGGGGCTAGGAGTAGTCGAGAATAAGGCGCGTATACTGTACTTCTTTTTTTAGTGAGGTATGGGGGGGGGGGGGGGGTGCGGGTGCGAAAATCAAAAAATCAGAAAATCACTTTTCGCTTCTCGGTTTTGTCGACTAGCCCGCTAATGGCCTCAGTATCGCTGCAAAGAAAGCTGAAGGAATGGAGAGTGGATAACAGAAAACCAAAAAAATAGGATCCTGAATTTACCTTCAATCTTTGGAGTTCGATTCTATAGCCTTGAATCTCAGGCAGTGAGTTACTGTGGTGTACACGGGGCTGTTCCCCACCAAGGTCGTCACTCGCTTTGATCCGAGGTACGGAAGTACCGAATCACGTAACGATCATATATAGATTTGCACGCCACAGCAGCCGCAAGGCTGATAATGACTTCCTATATGGTTAGGGCGCTAAAGAGCTCGAATAAGATCTTTTTATAGGTATTAGAAGTATTGAGAGCTTATAGATAAAGCGGTAATTAGAAAAAGTATGTTTCGCTACAAAATGAGACCCTTTATAATCAGTCGTAGCGGCGACAATATGAATATGGTTTTCTGGTAAAAGAGGTTGAAGGTGTGTCAGAATAGCTATAGAATCAAACTTTCAAAACATTGTAGAGAATTATTATAATTTACATAGATTTTATAATGCCTGAAGTCGAAGTACCTGTTATTTTTTCCGGCACGAGTGGTTTTCCGGCACGCAGGGATGCACGTTACTTGCATGGGCAGTATCAATGGGATTAAATGAAGTCATGTTCATCTAAGTTATAAGTTATATAACGTCTATCCCTGCGTGCCGAAAAACCCTGTGTGCCGAAACAGCTTCATGGTTTGGGGGTGTCAAATTTCTACCTTATAAATTTATACGATTATAATCAGTTTGCTATTGTTCTTCAGCTATTTCTCTATAAGGATTCGGTTTGCAATGAGAAAATACTATAGTTGTAGTCGTGCTGTCGATCGTCCTGTCGACGACGTCGAAAGCCGCTTCGGCTGTTCCCCCCTGCTCTAGCATGACTATTAGCCTGTCTCCGGGTTTCGGGGCTACAGTACGAAGGTACTATCAAGAAAAAATATAACTCCAAGTTTTGAGGACACAGAGCACAAGGAAACCTGGGTGCCGAGTTTATTTAGGGAAAGGGGGAGACTAACAAAACGCCAAGCGAATTTATTACGATTACATAATGTATTACAGTAATAGTCACGGTAGTCGTATTATAATTTTCATTATACCGAATTTATATAAAATGTGGCGTTCTGGAACTTCCATCGGGCAGGCAGCCACGTGTCCGCATTTGCTCTTGCGCTGAGCCTTGAACAAACGATGCCAGATCAAAACGCAGTGGAGTCTCTCTCACTACCGTAGAAGGCCCAAGGTTAATCGTTACTTATTGAGGAGAATCAATAGATTGAGTAAATTAAGTACAAAGCTTCCATCTACTCTAGGAGGAAGCCTAGTCTTATCGAACCTTCGTAGAGCTGGATCTCCTGGATCTCCTGGATCTCCACCTCTCCATGCTGATCCTGATGATCCCGCTGATCTAATTCTTCCGACTGTTCTTCGTACATAGGAAAGAACCGTAGCGAATATACAAAGAAACTTCGATGTCCTATCGTATCATGGAAGGGTTCTCCTGTCGCTGTAGCCACAGCGTCTGAGCCTATGGTCCTTCCGTATCATGTGTCGCATGTGTAACATAACCAAAGAGCATCGCGCCTTATAACATAAAGATCCTCCACATTTCCAATCTCCTCGAAAACGCCCTTGAATTGAGTCTAGTAACGAACGACTAGGATCTCTTTGCATATCCCAAGTCAGCGTGCTTCTTCCACATATGCTCCGTCAACTTGTCCGCGCGCGAGTAGCTCCTGCCTTGGCCTTTTGGGCATCCTAGGACGGGACAGAGGTGGAGGCCTTGGCTAATGTCGTGAACAGAGGCTTGGTGGCGAACGAGATCAGAGTGGCGTGTAAAGGTTGGTTGGTCGGAGCATATATAGCACGAAGGAGGCTGTTGCTGTGCAGCAGGGATAGGATCGTCGTTATTGACCGTTGGAAAAGGAGATATAAAGTCCCAGTCAGATCCACGGATCGGTGCAATAGGAAAGAATTGAGGTTGAAGCCTGTATCTAGTGCATTGGTTGATGTTTTCAAATCTATTGTCGTCTGCAATGGGGCCCAGAAGACCGTCCTCCACAAATGGATCACTAGGAATGGCAATAAATTGGGGTTGCTCGATGGGAACAGCTAAGGGTCGAAGAATCAAGGAGTTATCGGCTGGCAATAAAAGAGATTCGCTGTTGGAGCTCTCTGGAGTGGTCAGGAGGTTGTAGTAAAAGGTGTTTTTGGTTGAACGAGGCGGAGGCGTCGCTCGCGAAGGTTGACTGTAGATCCCGTCATCTAGTTCTGGCAGCCATTCCGAATTAAGGGACGAAGAAACTGACTCGAAGAATTGGGCGTCCGGGATATGCAGATCCCATTCCGAATAGTCGATGGCGCCTTCAAGTTCCGGCCAAGTCTGCCCATGACAATGCGAAATAGGGGACTCGAACCCCTGCGCGCCGTTTCTAACGGATGCTCTACCAGCTGAGCTAATTTCTTGGTCATGATCATACTCTCGAATAACCGGGACGCGGAGCAGCCAGGGCTCCGCGCAGCCTCTCTAGGCCAATGAACAAACGTCGGGAGAAAGACCAGCAAGCCAGCGCCCGATTTGTTGTTTAGCTTTTTATCCGATGGGGAATGCGATAGGGAATGTGTTCCCCAGTGCAAAGATGCACCGTGAGCGGTAGTAAATGGCTCACAAATGTAAGAACATTTTGGCACAAGGAAGGGAGGGTTGTGGATGGAGGGACTCCCGGGTTTAAATAGACTAGAACCTAGGTGGCCAGAATTCAAAACGCTCGTCGTGGCTGCAGTCTTGCAGTCTTGCATGAGGGCGAGAGGGCGAGAGAGGGCGAGAGAGGGCGGGCTATGCTACCCTCCAGGCAGCAGAGCACAAATCATTCGTTCTTGCTGGTATGACATCACACCGCGTATTGGTCACGTGCTAAAGTCGGTTAATCTACGGCCTCGGGTTAGCGACTGTCCTGAACAGCCACACGCCCTGGTGCGCTTTGCAAATGATTACATAAGTGAAATTACATCGTAAATATTTTCGGAAGTGCGGGGTCGTTCGCACTAACCAAAATCGTTGCTCGCTTTAATCCGAGGTACTAATCCGCGCAGCGACCTTATATAAATCTGCGCGCCATAACAGCCACAAAGGCTTGTGACGATTGCTAGTATAGTAGCGAGGTCTTAAAGCTGGGATATGACCTTTTTAAAAGTATTAGGGGTGCTAGACCCTACAAGTTATAAGACCAAATGGTCATAATAATTTCAACCAGGGTCATTTACAGATATCGAGTTTGAGATTGAAGTTTATAGCGCTTGCTAGTATACATAAAATCAGTAACATTCCTCTAACTCATTTTTCAATACCTAACGGCGGATATTAAGTACTAAGATTTGGCTCAATAGTAAGTTATTATATATCCAGAATTTCATCCAAAAGCTCACGGTAAACACCATTAACTTCTTACAAATAGGCTGCGTCATGAGCCCATATGATCTTTGTGGGAGGAATGAGGCTTGGTGGATTTTGGGGGGCTTATTGCACTTCTTTCCCTCGTGGGTTTTAAGGGTTTTACGCCTATCCAAGTCCCAAATTTTAAGAGGCAAATCACGCATGCTTTTTATAAGAATGCTTTATAAGAGGTTTGTACTTCTTCCTTTGCTTTTTCCCTAATAATTGCTATAATCCAAGAGTTCATAAAGTACAATTCACTTGTACATGATTATATTAAGGCTTATTTGAGCCGCAAAATCATCCGAAGACAAGACGAGGATCAGGGATATTACGGAGATCTTCTATATGCCGGCAGTACCTCATGCAAATATTATGATTCTTGATAATGGCCGCAGAGTTAGGTGGGACGATCCATTTTTCTAGTACTACTTTCACAAATAAAGTACCCTTGAAATAGTACCCACCCGCCTTAGTTTATACAAGATAATATACTTGAGCTCTCGTAATGCCATTATAAGTTCAGATATAAAATATTCGAAAGAGACTTGGAGGGAAGGGTGGAATGCTTCGGTCAGATCAATTAGTATTAGCAAGGGTTGAAGACAAGTATTAAGGATAGAAATATTAAAAGATTATCAAAAGTTACCTTAGTACTATAAGTATTAGAATGGATCCAAGAAAGCTATTCCCCGAGTACCATATCTCCTCGGCTGCCCTATTCTGGTGCGACTATAATCTGCAGACAATTAATCCGGATAATAATAAAAGTGATTGGGGGAGTGTACTGGAATCAAATTTTTGAAAACCCACTCCTCCCACTAAATATCAAACCTATAGGGGGGACTGATAGATTCGTAGAAGGGTGGGATTTAGTTAGATAGGATAGCCGAAGGATATAATAGGCTGGCAAGCAAGCTAAAAAGGGGGTCGCAAATAGGAGGTTTACTTAAAAAGCTTAGTAAGCCAGACTTTCTACTGGCTGCCAAATCTGTACCATTCCTGGGCTACTGTCTCTATCTTCCAGAGTTACTGGGTTTTGGTTTGGTTTTGTAATATACTCGAGAAAGGGACAGAGTTAGATACTATTTCTGGAAGAAATTAAAAGTATTTTAAAAAGCTCTATACTACTATCTCTCTAGTTCTGTTAAGGGAAAGCCGGTTATATAAGTATTATAAAGGAGATCCCAAACGGTTATAACTATATTTAGTAATATTATTAAAGGACTAACTATCTTATATAAAGCTCTATCCTTTTCTATATTTCTTTAAGCTTATTATAGCTCGGATCGGAGGCAATCTAATATAAAGAATCAGACTAAGGAATTATAGCTCAATTAATAGTACTTACTACAAGTACTATTATTATTATTTCAAGCCTTTAATATAAGGCTATAGATCTTATAAAACTGTAAATCCAGTTTCCTCCTTACTTCTTATTACTTCCCCTATTTTATATAACTCCTTTAATAATTGAAAGCTCTAAATAGAAGGCAGGAGGCAAACTAGTATACCAAGTCCGTATATTAGAAATCTTATATATAATTGAAAATAAGATTAGTAAGCAAGTAGCTATAAAAGGTAATAAAGTAGTCTCTTCCTCTCTCTACTTCTTTAAGATTATTAGGCCCTCAAAATCCAGTTCTAGGAATCCGGAATTTTGGTATTAGACCTAATATCTACTTTACTTATTATAAAGTAGTCGGATTATTTATCTAATTCAATACTGGCTTATAGGGTTCCTTCTCAAATTTCTTATTACTAATAGGTTCTATCTATTCTTAGTTTAAGGAAGTCCGGAATTCTTCCTTGGTTTTATTAGTAAGTACTATAATTATTTCTATAAAGCAGTTCCCTGCCCTGGTTTTGAATATATACTAGAGATCCTTACTATACTCCTATTACTACTAACTATCTAAATAAAATAGAGCTAGTATATAATAGATTATATATTAGATATATAACTATTCTAATATTATAATATAATTCATACTAGGAACTATACTATTTACCTTTTCCTTATACCTACTATACTAAAGTCTAGTATAAAGGGGACTTATAATTACTAGAAGCTTATTTCGGATATTAAATAATTCTTCCTATCTAATATTAATATATATTTACTAGGTAATAGTTCGAGATTATTAGTAGATATAAAATAAAATAGGGACTAGAATCCGTATAATAGGGTTTATATAATATAACTACTATTATTTTAGTAGGCAAAACTCAAATACTATTAATATACTTCAGTTCTATTATATTTACAATTAATATTACTTATTAGAGGTAAGTATAGGACTGAAATATATTCGAAAATAGAGAAGATAACCCTATTTTCCCGATTCCGGAAAGCCGCTTCCTATATATTTATCTATAGTTTAACTAGTAGTTTCGGGAATAAATCAAAAGATTATAAGATTAGGCTGAGGCTATATAGAGATACTATTATATATTATACTATATAGTTATTTAGGAAAGGAAAAGAAAAAGGAAGAGAAAAATAGGAATAGAATAATAGTATTTATAACTTATAATAACTAGTAATTCTATATATTAATTTAATAGAATTAAATCCTTTATATAAAAGATTAGAAAAGATAGTTTAGAATTAAATCAATTTATCTATTAAGGATCTTTTATTCTATATCTATTATCTGTCCTATAATATAGTAGAAGTAATAGACTTATAATAGTATTATTTATATATTAGAACTAAAAGCTCAAGTAATACCTTAAAATATAAGGAATTCTTTATAAAGCCGAATATAGATAAGGTACTATATTATAAGACGAATAGAAAGTCTAGCTTTATAGCCTAGCTATACCTACTAGGAACTCTGGTACCCGTTATTAGACTCTATTAAATATAATAGATTAATATAAAGTAGGATCCCTAAAAGCTATTATAACTAGAGAATATTTACCTATAAAGCTATATATAGCTATAAAGAGCTTGGATTTCAAGTCTATTCTAAGAAATATTTCAACTTTATTATCTTATATAAAATTCTATTCAAATCTGTTATACTAGTTATTCTAGCCGGAATTTTATTAGATCTTCTTTCTATTCGGAAATAGACTTACTTATACCGGTACTAATAACCCAGATTTAGCTATATTAACTTACAAGCTCTCTATTAATCCTGAAATACAAATAAGTACCTGACCTATATTCTAGTCGAGATAACTAGTTTTAATAAAATAGTATTCTTAAATACTAAATAGTATAGGATTTAAGATAACTATCTTAGTAGAAATTACTACTAATAACTAGTAATCCTATTAATAAGAAAATTATTTTAGAAATAGATATTACTAAATACTATAACTAAAACTATCCAGATATTTAATAAGATCTTTATTATTTCCTCTTTTTAAAAGCAGTTTTCTATTAATTATTTACCTATCCAGAAAAGTTCTATTATATTTATATATTAAATATAAATTACCTCTCTTTAGATATAGCTATAAAAGAATTAAATACTTTCGAATATCTCAGAGATAAGTTCGGGTTTATAAATAGTCTTATCTTAATTATATAGAATATATAGAAATAGTAATAAGAAAATAATTCAATAGAATAGATAATTAATTCAAAGAGAAAAATGTCCTTATATATCTCAATACTTCTATTCTATCTATTACTATCTAACCCGTTTCTAGCCTGGAAGCCTAATTAGAAAATTAAGCTTTTAGTAATTTAATTATTAACTAAAGAGAGAACTATAGTCTGGGTATATTCTTAGTATCTTAATAAATCTAGTAATAAATCTAGGCCTATTACCCTGGAAATACTACTTTTAGAAGTCTAAAAAGTAATTTTAGAACTAGCTATTTCTAGAAGTCATTTCTAAAAGCCATTTCTAGAGGCTATTTTTTAGAGGTATTACTTCTAGAGGTATATTACTAAAGTCTAATATCTTATATAATTAAGATATAAAATATACTAAATACTATATTAACTTTTGGCTTCTAATTTAAATACTTTCCTATAAGCCGATTTATTAGGGCCTATATTATTTCTCCTATATTATATATCCGGGTTTTATACTATATTAATCTTACTAAGACCCCCTAGGATATAGATATTATTTAATAATATACTATAGTACTTATAGTTATTATTACTCTTTTAATTATTTTCTATATATTAGAAATTTCTATTAACTTTCTATATACTTATATAATATATTATTTTCTTAAATATGTTTTTTACTTATAGATCTATAAATATATAAGTAGTACTA